AGGTCTAAGAAGATTGAACAGGGGCAACTGTTGCACCCCAAAATTTGCCCTCCCATATTCTTCAAGAAATTTCCAAGCCAAGTCATAAAACTCCCCCAAGGGTTGCACAGTCCAACTGTCTCCTATACAGTCAAAACTAGGGTTTGGGTTCTGATCAAGAAAATGAAGTTTTCAAAGGCTCAATCAAGTCTCATATGCTTACAAACATGGTCAAGCATCCTCATATCAAGTTTCAAGGCATTCAGCTCAAGATTGCACAGTCAAAACCCTAAATTGCACTACAGTCAACTGTAGGGGCAAAATGGTCATTTGGCAGTCAAAAGTTCAAATTTTTGGTCAATATATCATTTTGAAGCCACAAACATCAGTTGATCAATGCTTGATCATGATTCTCAAAATTTGGCTCAGAAAATCATCAAGATGCAAAAGTTCCTTTATTTGGACAGCTGAAAAAGTCAACTGAAATTGACCAGGGCATAACTTTCACATGGATCATCAGAAAAATTCCATCCAAAGCTCATTTTGAAGAGAAAGACATTTCCTACAACTCATCTTCATACTTCAAGTCCAAGAAATGCTCTCACAAAAAGTTATCAATTTCAACATTATAGGTCATTTTCAAAAGTCAACAAAAAGGGACTTTAAGTCAAAGGCCATAACTTGAGATTGGAAAATCAAAATGACATGGGACCAAAGACATTGGTTAAAGGACTCAAAGACCTTTCCAAAATGTCCAAGAACATGAGAAAAGATTAAAAATTGAGCAAGTTATGCATTGGAGAAGTTGGGAAATTTTTGTGAAATGGCAAAAGTCAACTATCCTTGAAACTTCAATTTTTGACAAAAGGGCCCACTTTCTTCCACTTGATTCAGCCTTGTCATGCCACACACGTGTCCCATGATTAATTTCAAGACCAAATATTGATTTTTCTATTTTATTTAATTTTTGATAATTTAATTCATTTTAAATCTTTAAAAATTCAAATAAAATTCAAAAGTCAATGAAATAGTGTCATTTGAATTGGGATAGCTTCCATATATCATGTGCCAACTCACAAACTCATGCTAGGGTTAGATTATACACCAAGTCTTGGTCTTGCTTAAAAGAAGGAAAAGTTTGTTAATGCTAAAAGACCTAAGACCAATTCTCTCATGGGCATGGATAAAGGCCAACTAATGACCTAATTTCCTTCCCTCATAAGCACTGAGTCAAACCCTAATCATAACACACTCTCAGCTGCGCATAAAAGGTTAGTACCAATTTGAAATTTTTGGCCATAAAAGTCAAAACTGAAAAGCACTCTAGAGGGGGATTCAAAGCTTGATTCTTTTTCTAATAGCTTCCTCAAACTCTCCTGATCACATTCCAATCACAAACAACAACCCAAACGCAAAGAACTGGCTGTGTATGCAATTTCGCCATTGTTGTTTTTCTAGGGTTACGAAGCTCAAAATTGGGACTTTTAAAAATAGGCAAAATTAAGCCTCAAAACCATGGCCATCCAACTCAGTGCAGAGAGACGAAGAAGACCCACCATTCGCGAACAATTTATGATTCACATAGCGCTATTCGCTATTTCTTCTAAAGCTGTCTAAACCCACGCATAAGAAACCGTGGCCTTTGTTTTGTGTTTTCAGGAAAATTGGAGAAGACAACATCGTGTCAATACGTGATAGGCCAGTTTGAAATTCGCGCCAGAAACCCACTAATGCATTTGTTTCTTTTTTTTATTATTTGTTTCTTATAATATATTAACATATGTTTCATGGCTCAGCTGGCAAACCACCAAGGCATTAGCGTCCAAGACCTGGGTTCGAATCCCAGGTCTTGCATAATTCCAATATTATTTTTCCAAACGTCTTCCTGTGCAATTTCAAAGGTGGAGCGCATGGTACACCACAATCATCAAGACGTCCACGTGCCTAAGAGGATCAATCAGAAAGCCATGTTCAGAGGTGTACCATAAGCCTCAGTCAAAGGTCCCATACGTGGCCTGGGAAAGTCAACAAATTCCAAAATCAATTGGGCTAGATTGCTGGGCCACACCTCCACTTTAGGGCCTGAACCCCCTGGTTTGCTTTCTCTATATTTTTCTTGTTTTATTTTTATTTCTTGTTTTATTTTCTTTATTTGTTTAAACTAATTATTATTTCTTTACAAATTATAAAATACACAAAAATCAGAAAAAGAGAACAATATAATATTTATTTTATTTTAGTTTTTTTCATAAATAAATTGTATGTAAATTAACTTAGTATTAATTTAGGTTGCAACTTTAATTCTTTCTTCCGTAAAAAAATCCAAAAATATAGCATGAGGTTTAATGACTTTTTATTCCTTTTAGTTTTCCTTGTTTTTTGCCATAATATTAGTGATTTATTTATTTTCATATTTGAACTTGTAAACTAATTAGGGCTGCATTTAGGTTAAATTTTAATACTTTCATAATAAACTTAAAAATATTTAGAAATAGGTTTCATTAATTTTGATTCTTTAATTCTTTTTCTTACAATAATAATACTCATTTTATCTATTTTCTATAATTAAATTTGGCATGTAAATTAACTTAGATTTAAATTAGGTTAAAACTTAATATTTTCACAATAAACTTAAAAAACATTAGAATTAGGGTTTGACATTTCATTTTAATTTTCATTAGTTATTTTTTCCATTAAATCTTAAAAAATACAAAAATACCAAAAACATTCTTTTTCTTTAATTTTAATTCTTCATTAGTTCTAATTAATTAATTCATTAACTTTAAATATTTTTGCAAAAGGGTCCAACGCCCGTGTTCATAATTTATTTAATTTCGCGCATTTATTTTATGTCGTTTCTTATTGTAATTCTCCCAAAGCGTTGTAACAGTTTATACTTCTCGCACTTTTATTTGCTTTATTTACTTTCTGTCAAATCGGGTTCGGTTTAATTTTGGCGATGTGGACCCGCGCCATTTGTAATAGTCTTAGATTTACTTTTCCCGCAACTTTTAACTGTTAACAAAAGCATGAAAGAATGTATGGACTTAAAATAAAATCAAGCGTAGAACACCAATGAACATGACAAGACAAATATCAATGAAAACGATACACGAATCGCACACACCACCCCTAGGGTACGCCTCACTGTTGCCTTGCCTTTCGAAAGGTGATCGTCGAGTAGAGGATGTCTTAGTAAGTCCTCATGATCCGGGAACCTGGCATGAGGGTAGCTTATAAGGTGTCTTCCCATTGCTCTGGTAATCACCATGTCCCTATAAACTCGAATTGACCCGAATACCTCCGACAGTGGTGCTACCTACCTCTCAATGGTGGGATGGCACTACTTTAAAGGACATTTACACAGACGAATTCCTTAGGGTAGGTAGGTTCTCAAGGATACTTGCTCTAATTTCAAACAAAAATACTTTTCACACCAACACACTTTCAAAAGCTTTCAAAGCAAATTTTTCAAACACTCTGACGTACGAGTCGAACTGAAATTTTTCAAAGAAACTTTTAAAACCCACAATTGAAAAGCAAGCAAACATTTTTGAAAACACATTGAGCAAGTATCTAAGAGCCCATGGATAACCATGGATAGAAAGGGTGCTAACACCTTCCCTTTCTATAATCTACCTCCCGAACCGAGAGCAATCTCTTTAAGGAATTTTTCTGTGCTTTTGTCCTTTCCATTTGGAGAAAATAAAAGACGGTGGCGACTCTTGCTTACCGCGACATTTCGCGAACCAGCGTTAAACAGTCAGTTCCAGATCCACCGATCACACAAGGTATCTTCTATGCGCAAATGCAGAAACTAACTCTCTACCTTAGAAAGACCATAATAAACGACAAAGTTCTTCCTCAAAAGATTTAATTGTGTTATAAAAAAAGGATTAAATATGTTTTTGATCCGTATAAATTTCTCACATTTCATTTTTAGTCCCTATAAAAAAATAACATATTTTTGTCCCAAGTTTTTTTTATGCATGCAATTTTAGTCCTTTATGTTAGACCAATATGTATTTTTGAATGGTTATTTTGCAGACATGTTTAGAACATTATAAAAAAATCCTCGAAAAAACATAACTCAAAATTTGATTTTAAAGTTGAGATTTTCATTATTTTCATCATTATCTTTTGAAATTTAAAAATTCATATTTAACTCTTCTCATTTTAAAAATTCTAAAATTTGCTATAAAAATATCTTATAGTATTTTAAACATGTATGAAAAAAATTATTCAAAACTTTAAAAATTTAGAGGTAATTGAACAGTTTTTAAAATTTTAAAAAATAGAAAGGACTAAAACTCCATGCATACAAATTTTATAGGGATTAAAAATGAAATGTGAGAAATTTATAGGAATCAAAAACATATTTAACCCTAAAAAAATTACCATTAACTTCAATAAATTTAAACATGTTAATAAATAAATATTTTGTTTATCCAAAATAACTTAAATTCTCCTTCTCGAATCCTCTTTCATTGTCTGCATCTAGGAGTGGTTTGGTATGCCAATTGTTCTATTGATTCAATGGTAAGGTTATTCTATTGCGATCATGCTGAAATAGCCTTTCTATTATAAAAAATAATGTGAGTCTCGTGCATTAGGTTACTCCTTTTATCTAAGAGTGGTTTGATAATACCAATTATTGTCATCTATTTTTTATTTATTAATTGAGTTATGAATAAATTATTATTATTATTAAATAAATTTAGACTAGTCCAATTTTAAATTTAAATTTAAATTTCACACTTATCATTAAGTTTATAATTCCCGAGTAATTGTGGTAAATTAATAGTAATATATAATTTCATTAAAAAAAATATTCAAAGTATAAGATCAACAAGTAAAAGAGAAATATATGCAAAAATAATAGGGTGGGGCCGTTGAGACTTTAATCCACTATATATAAAGAAGAGCTTTACTCTAGTGAACACAAGCAACACCCCAAATTTGCAGTCTCTCTCTTGCTTTCACTCTAACACTGACTGTTTAATTGTGGTGGATTTATAGAGATGGATTTTGTGAACAAGTGTAAGAGACTATTGACATGCACAAAGAGCATTCATCCAGAGGAAACTTGCAGCGGAAGCAATCGCAAATTATCGTCAGAGAGGTGTCACAAAAAGCAAAAAGACAGTCATAAGAAACCACCAAATGGTTGTGTTTGTGTTTACGTTGGACCTGAGAGACAGAGATTCATAATCAAGATCAAAATATTGAATCATCCTTTGTTCAAGTCACTTTTGGAAGATGTTGAGAATGAATATGGTTATAGATACGATGGTCCTCTATGGCTTCCTTGAGATGTTGACATTTTCTGTAGCTTGAAATATTTGTTTTTTTTAAAGATATATTTGTTTCTTTTCATCTTTATGATATATGTGTTTATTTAAATTTTTATGATATTTGTGTTTCTTTTAACTTTTGGTGAATTCTTATCTACTAAATATAAAAAGTTGAGTAAAATTAATTTTAAAATAAAATGCTTTGAAAATAACCCAAAAGAAATTTAATATATAATAAATATTTAAATAAAATATTATTAAATGTTAAGATATACTATCTCCTTTTTGTGATGGGTTGAAAAATTTCCTCGTTTTCTCTAAATTTGTTACAATCATTACCAACTTCATGTAGCTAGCTACTTTAGTGAGAACTTATAAAGGATAAACTCTAACACTCAGCTCTTTATTTTTAAATTATTTTTTTATTAATAAATTTGATGTTTTAAAATTTAGAACAAAACTTACATATAATTTTTTAAAGTAGTTCTTACTATTTTTTAATAAAAATATAATAAATATATTTAAATATTATTTAAAGAGTAAAAATAAGAATAATTGAAAAAATTATATATTTATTATATTTTTATTTAAAAATAATAAAAATCACAATTAAAAAATTTAGGTGAGTTTTATCGTAAAATTTAACCGATATATATTTTTGTCAATATTTTTAGTCGTTCTATGATATGGTGAATTATTAGTAGGACTATATGACTAAAGACTGGTTTTCTTTTCTTACTTTTTTTTAATAATTTCCTTTTAACGATTGATTTAAATAGTGTTTAATAAATATTATTTGAAATAATTCAATATTTTATCAATATTTAAAAACTTAGATTGAATATTAAATTGGTGAAATATTTGGTTTAAGATTCAATAAATTCAACCGATTATACTTACGGTTGAATTATTTATTAACTAAGCTAATAATATAAAATTAAATTTTATAAAGAGGAATACTTATATACAATTTCATAAATGCGATTCATATTTTTCTCCAATAAAAAATATGATAAATATACCAAAATATAGTTTAGGAAGTAAAAAGAAGAAGAACTTGCATATGTGTATGAAGAAATTATACACTTGTCATATTTTCATTGAAAAAAAAGTATAAATAACACCTAAGAAAATACACCTAAATTTTTTCTTTCATAAATATGTGTCACACAATATATAATCACAGCATAATAAAATAAATATTTAAAAAAGTCCATTACAAACTTAATACAACAATATCAATAGTATATATAATAACACAACATTGTACACTTAATTTTAATCTTTATTTAAAAATAATTTAAATAAATTAAAGAATTACAATAAAATAAATTAAACTAATTCAAATTAAATTTAAAATAATAGAATATAATAATAAAATGAAATTTAAATAATTAATAATATCGAAATTAAATAAGATAGAATTATTAAAAAATAAAAATACAATTTAACTGAACAACTTAATTGAAAAACAATCCAAATTTTTGATAAGTTTTATGCAGAATTTTAGACTATTTTGTTAACTGGCTTGAATTTTGGACAAGGCTTTGGAGCAAGGAAACTTTGGACAACAAGTTTGAGGCATGGAGTTTTTAGGAAATTAGAATTAGGATTAGGTTCAAGTCTTGATTTGCTTGTAACTTATTTGTAGTTTTTCCTTGTAATGAATGATGTTTGGATGAATATTGTGTAAATCTTTGTTGAATCTTGAAATTTCTCTTGTAAAGAACTTTAGATCCAATGAATGAAATTTGAAATGTCACTTGAACTTGAAATCAACTTATTTTTGAATTATGTCTTGTAATTTGAATGATGAAGAATGAACCAAATGGACTTGAAGTATTGGTTTTGAAATGACCATAACACCTTGAAATGAACTTGTACCTTGTATCCATTATTATAAAACGCGTTGAAACCACTCGGTCGGACCTGTCATCTGGATGTAATGAAACATCAATGAAGTCGCCACCGAACGTCTTTTATCCCGCCGAAAGGGAAAGGTAAACATCGAGAAAACCTGAAAAGGGAGAAATCACGGTCTTTCGACCGAGAGATTGGGTAAGGGAGTCTGTTACGCGAGGGGAAGGTATTAGCACCCCACACGCCCGTAGTACTCTACGGTATCCACTCTTGTTGTTTAATCTAATGGGTGTGGTCAAAACTTATGTCTATGGCTTAAAACTGAAAAGGAAATGTGTGATACGGTGGGAGAACTGACTTGAGGTTTTGCGTTTGTGTTCGCAAATGTCGTGGTTAGCAAGAGTCGCCACCGACTTTTCTTTTATCCAAAAGGAAAGGTGAAAAAGCACAGGAAAGACCTTTGAGATTGTTTCTGAGTTCGGAGGGTAGATTATGAAAAGGGAAGGTATTAGCACCCTTTTCATCCATGGTTTTCTATGGGCTCTTAGTTACTTGCTAGATCACTTGCTTTTGTTTGAATGTGTGCTTGTGGTGGTGATTTTTGAAAGTATTTTGAAAATGGAACTTCGTAATGGTTCTCGTTTCTATGAGAACACCTAGAAAGTGTTTGTTTCGAAAATAGTTCAAAAGTGTGTTTGTGAGATGTGTTTTTGAAAGTATTTTGAAAATGGAACTTCGTAATGGTTCTTGTTTCTATAAGAACGCCTACAAAGTGTTTGTTTCGAAAATATTTCAAAGATGAGAGTGTGGGTGTATAAAATGTTTTTGTCGTGAGCAAGTGAGTAACTAAGAGAGAACCTACCTACTCGAAAGGTCTTAAATGTGCTTTTTCTCCTCCTTTAGATGTTGCTATCTTACCATTGTTTTGGTAAGAAGCCCCATCGTTGGATGTGAAGGGACGGGCGTTGGGACGTTTGTATAGTCATAGAAGGCAACATATGAGACGTTTTAGCAATTTCATTTTAGGGACTAGATCGTTTATCGAAGGCAACATCGAGGGTCATCGAGGGACTACGATCTTTTTATCGAGGGTCTTTGCTAAAACACCCATGCTCGAGGGACATGACTATTTTCCGAAAGGCAACAAGTGAGATTACCCTAAGGGTGCATGTGTGCAAAGTGTGTTTTATTGCATGCATTTGTCCTTGATTAGGGGTGGCCTATTTGTTGGTTTTTATCTTGCCATACACACTTATTTACTAGCAATATATGAGAAGCAAGTAAAAAAGTGGAAAGTAAAATCTAAGCTATTACATCACTTTAGGGGGATGGGGATACAATTTAACAATGGGGATGAAGTAGGAACTAAAATATTACAACCACATCGAATAATGATGAAAAGAATGTGAAAACAGTGTAGAATAAAGGAAAAATGCATTTTTGAACTGCTATGTGTCGACCCATGTTGCTATGTATCGACACATAGCTTCTCCTACTCCTGTAAAACAAAATCAGTTCAGTATGGGTCGACAAATAATGGGATGTGTCGACTCATGCATCTTCTTGTATCGATGCGAAACGTGTATGTATCGACTCATAGGCTTTTCCAGCTTCTGTTTTGTGAAATCTGTTCAGTATTTGTCGACACATAATGGGATGTGTCGACTCATACACCTTTTTGCATCGACGCGAAATACGTATGTGTCGACTCATAGTCCTTTTATGCTTCTGTTTTGTGACCTGAACTCAGTATGGGTCGATGCATGGGGGTCATGTGTCGACCCATGCCCTGTAATTTTACTAAGATGGGTCGATACATGTGGATATGTGTCGATACATCCTGCATTTTTCCGTCTTAAACACCATTCTTTGCATACGTCAGTTAGTTGTTTAACATATAAATGAATAACATGAACAACAAATAAATGATTAACTTCAAAAATAGTGATTGTTACATCCTATAAACACAAAAGTTGATGTATGGAAAAGGCAAGGTAAAGATGACTTACCTTAAAGCTGCACTTTAGGTTTTGAATCCAAATACCCTTCAAGATGTTGTATGAACCTTAAGGAAGCTCCAACAGGCTGCTAGACTTTCCTTTTTGTTGAAGGTTACTAAACAACCTCTGTGTGGTGTGAAATGTTTGGATGGTTTTTAGATGGAATATGTAAAGTGTGAGAGGTTTAAAGGTTTAGACTTCAAAACTCAAGAGTGGAGGTTTTATGAACTGTTATGGCTTTTTGTGAATATGAGATTTTAAGGGTTTATCAATATAACTTCTGGATTTTCTCCTTGTTCTTTCTCTCTATTTTTTCTAACCCTTTTCCAACCTGTTTTTCCCAACTCTTTCTCTTGCAACTGACCTCTCTATTTATAGAGAAAGTTTGAGATTTGAAAACTCAGATTTTTAATCACATGTTATGGCTAGGTTAGATTGTACATGAAGCAAGCTTGAAGATTGTAGTTCCAATGCTTTGTACTTTGTTGCATAGAGTTGTTGGACACTTTAAGCATTCCCTTCTGATTTGTGTGTGATTATAACAACAAGTTAGAGGCTCAAGAAATTGACTTTATGATTAAAGTGAACTTTGCAAGAATGGCAATGGTGCCTTTGTGCCAAAAATAGAAAGATCACTTGAATAATGCTTAAACCAAATGGACCATAGCTCAAAAGTTTGTGTAAGCATTAAATTATGGTAAGAGTTGCAAGTCACAAGGCCTGCAAATTGGAGATTATGCAGCATGGGTTAAGATTCTTGTTCTTTGTTCATCATAAATCTGCCTTGTAAATCAAGAATGAATGTCCAACTTCAGATCCTTGTATCTCCTAACTCAAATAAGATAAATTCATGCTCTTGGATGTTTTGGAAAGCTTGAAACACCCTCTATAACTTTCATGTTGGCCACTTTTGTTAAATAAAACTGGAACTTGATGGAAAATGGGAAAGAAGTTGGGATAAAAACCTAACCAAAACTGCTGAAAATTTCTCTAAGTGTTTAAATGAAAATGTCATGACTTCATGAATTTATAACCTGAAATCCAAGCCTGTTTAGGAGAAGTTGTGTAAAGAAATGTTGTAGATATCATGGAGATCTATAACTTTCGTGTTGGAAGCTTCTCTTGAATCATCTTGCATTAAGGTGAAAAGTTGGCATG